CTTCGTCTTATCCTTTCCAATTTCCGTGTTTCTTGGTGCCCGTGCGTTCAGCCACTGAGTTTTGGGAAGAAATTTCGGCCTGTGGGGTCCTGCAGGAGAAAGCGCTCCTTGGGTTGCCCCATCTCGAGGGAGTAGGTCTGAGGCAACCGGCTGCCTTTTGGGTGCTCTGCCATGACTGTTTTGTTTTTGCCTCATGAATCTGAAAGGAAGCAATGATGTTTATTTTTTCCTGCTGCAGCGCCACGGATCCTGCACCCCTCTGGATCAGATGTCGTGAACCGTTTCTGGGCTGAGCTGGTTTTTCGGGTGAGTAGGGCTGTGATGTGAGAAGCTGCTCAGCCTAGTGCTGCGATGGCACCAAGAACACGGCTGGTGGTGCCGGCTCTGCAGGGCTTGGTTTTGCTGTACCCCTGCTCACCGAGGTCGAGCAGAGCAGAGCTGCCTGTGGTTCCTACCAGGATGTGGCTTTTCTCTTGCCGTAAAGCTGAGCGAGCAGCAGCCCCTGTGAATGACTCTTTTTTTTTTTTTTTTTTTGAACAAAGTGTGTTTATAACACAGAGGTAAAGGTGAATTGTTTACTTCAACCTTTGCTTTCCAACCTAGCTCCTGTGAAAGCTCCCAGGGGAGCATTGCAGCCAGTCCTTGTGACCAGAGCTGTGTTTCAAGGGAGAATGAAACACAAACAACTCCCCTGCAATGGTTTGGGTTGCAGCTCCCGAGGGTGGTTGTGCTTGGTGGGTGAAAACAAGCAGGAGGCATTCGCTAGGCTGCTGTGTCCTGCAGTCATTGTGAGAGAGAAAAGACGCCAAACAAAACAGGAAGCCTTGATTAGGGTTGTAAAAACTCTTTTAGGTTAAAAAAAGCCGTCTAATAGGAATACCCATTGCACCTGAGCGTGTTGGGATGCTTTTTCTAGCTGGGTCTTCACATTCCTCTGAGCTTCTCTGGGTACTTGGATCTGGATGCAGGGCTCAGCTCTGAACCGACGTGGTCCTTGTTTGGGTCATTCAAGGCCTGGGCGTCTAGACTTTTTTTGACAAAGGAGCTGCCCTGTCACAATGCTGGGTCTGTTATCTATAAATGATAAATTATTTGAGTATGGTCCCCTGTTCCTTAGCCTGGTGCTGTGTATCTGTTGGATGATGCGAGTTTTTGGTCTCTCCTGGATGCAAGGCTAGATGTGAGCGATGTGGCTGGTTCTGGGGAAATGGGGACAGTGCCTCTCCGTCCCCACTCCATAACCACCTCATTCCCAAGCGGCGCTGAAGCATCATAATTAGTAGCTGGTGACCAATTGGAACAGGCTGATGCAACATGGGACTGATATACAGGAGGTTTCTAGGGGGTTTCCACTGTCTTTAAGCTTCATGCATAAGAGCAGTTGGGTGTGTTTTGCTGCAAATAAATAGCTTTAGAGAGCGATTGCTTGTCTGAGTGCTAGCTTAACTCCCTTCCTTTTTCTTCTCTCCTCTTGCTGCTAGTGCCTGAAGAAGCGTGGAGCACCAAGCATCTGTCATGTCCGACTGGGTGCTCCTCGGCCTGATCGCGGCACTGGTTGTGCTGCTACTGCTGACCATCTTTGGTTTTGTTGTCTACTCGGGGCTCTTCACAGAGGTGGTTGTGAGTGCTGGCTCCCCACCTGTTGGCAACATCACACTGGCCTACAAATTCAGGGTAGGCCCGTATGGCGAATCCGGGCAGCTCTTCACGGACGGCTGCAGCATCTCTTCGAAGCTCTACTCCATTGGTGTCTACTACGACAACCCTCACACGGTAAGGTGGGGCCGGCAAGCTTTCATGGTCAGCAACCGGGTTGCTAGCTTGAAGTGCTCCCTGGCTATATTTCAGACACTTGCAGCTCATCCTCTCTAGATGCTCACTGGGGTTCACAAAGTCTCCCAGATTTACAGAGAATAATCTGATAGTTTCTTGAATAACTCTAACAGGAACACACTTGGTGAGCAAAGCTTGCTGTCTTCTGATAGGTCCTGACGAACCAGTTATCAGCAGGATAATGGATCTAGTTATGGAGCGGAGGCCAGTGTTCATGACCCCAAGGTGAGGCATTCCTTGGCAGATCCCCTGGCTGCAGGAAGTGCAGCCAAGGCTCCTTCTGGACTTGCAGCTCTGTGGTTGAAAGGAGATGGTCTCTTCAGCTAACTCTGTCCTCATCCATACTCCTTCTCTTGTTTCTAGTGCTCTCGTGTGTTTCTGAGCTTCCTTGTAGTCATTTTGTCCCCTGAGAGTTTTTACTGAAACCTCAGGTGATGCATGCTGAGGGCTCTTGTCTGATGAAACAGCTCTTCAGGCTGAGAGGTGAGCAGAAAATACACTGCCTGATGACTGCCAGCCAGAGCTAAGTGCTCTGGCAGATATGGTCCCGGACAAGGTGCAGAAGAAAGTGCGTCATAACTTGCTGGGGGCTGAGGAGTCTGGCTACTGATGCTACGTGGCACTGGGGTCTCCAAATAACAGCATGTGAGCACTTCTCCATGGCAGACAGCCTGGCTCCTCAGTAATTCTGCAGTAGCTAGTGTGACCGTGGAGGAAAGCCGTGGTGGGGAGGGATGGCAGAGTGACCAGAAGCTGTGCATGTGTGCTTGGGGACCTGTACTGGGGGCTGGCATAGGGCACAGTGCTTGGGCTGGTAGCTCTTGCCCAGTGCTTCTGCTTTGGAGGTGACTGGTCCTGTTTCAGGAAGCCTGTTCCGTTACTTGCAAGGTGGTGATCCAAAGGTTTGGACCTGCTTAGAGGGAACTTGTCCGTGAAAACGTAGTGCTGAGTGGACTGTGACAGGAAGATATCAGAGGCGAGAAAGCACTGAGCTTGACTGTGCTCAGTGGAGCCTGGTGCCCTCAACCACCTTGTGTCTTTGTATCCTGTGACAAGCTGACTTGTCTTTACCTTCCAGTTTTTGCTTTTGGATCGTGGGAGGCAGAGAAGAGACACTCTGCAGTGCCTCTTTCTGACCTGGGAAGGAGATGGCGAAGAGGACCCCTGGATGAGCTGGACAGAAGCAGTGTTCGACCAGACGCACTTGGGCACTTTTATGTGCAAGAAGTGTCATGTTTGGAGTGGGCGAGGGATGGGAGGCATGGGGAGTGCCTGGTGTGCTAGGGCCCACGTAGTCAGAGTGGCCAATTCACCTGCTGCTAATTTGTGTCCCTTGTCCTTGTGTTAAGGTCCTTGTCTGGAGTTGAGAACCCCGGTGCTGCTGCTTCTTCCACTGCTGTCTCTGCAGGTGGAGCAGGGCAGCTGATGCTCAGCGTTCGTGCTTGGTGCTGGCCTGCTCCACGGATGTGGTGGGGACGTGCCTATGGTTGCCTTGCAGACCTTTTACTTGGGCACTGTGCCTTGCCTCTCTGTTTGCCAAAGTGTTGGCTAGTGAAATCTTGTACTGCTCAGGCTCACAGATACTGATAAGGATATTTGTGGTGACTCCTGCTGCGGCTGTCACCGGGAGTGCTTTCCCTGGCAGCACCAGGTGAGGCTGAGAAGGAACGGCTCCTACATGAGCCTGGAAGGTTGAGCTGTCTGTGCAGGATGAAACTGCCTCCTCTTTCTGGTCCTGTCTCTTTTCTCCTCTTCCTGCATCTCTCACATCTCTGCCCTCACTCTGCAGTTGGAGCAGGCAGTGGGGCTGCAGAACTTGTCTCTGAGTCTCCAATGGCTGTCCAGGGTTTTGGAAGCCAGCTGTTTCTCCTTTCGCAGTCGGGTGTCTCAGGAGGGGAAGACCCTGTCTGCAGCATGGCTGAATGGCATCTGGTGGCCAAGGAGGCCCATCTTGGTGCCAGTGACTGAGGAGATTTCTCTGGATTCAGGGCTCAGCAGGTGGAGACAGCTCTTGGCCTGCTGTGGTCAAGGCACACCAGGACCTCTGCCCGGTGGCTCAGCTGGTGCCGAGTCTGGACTGGAGCATGCTACTGGATCTGGAGGTCTTTCCCCCACTGCTGAGGGTTCTGTACTTGCTTGCCCATGGACTGGCCACCGATCCAGCATGGGTTACGAGTGCCTTCAGCTGGTGTGTGAGCTGAAGGGAGCTCCTTGCATGGGGCAGGATACTGCGCGGAGCTACAATCCATGGTGGGGCCCTCGTGAAGGATGGTAGTGAGTTCGTGTGGGTCTCTAGATGTTTTGGAGAGTACATGGGTCTGTGGGTCAGGCTGGGAGATCTTGGTTGTGATGCTGAGCAGGAGAATTGCCTCCCTCTTGGAGCCTGCTGGACAGGTGGTGCTCAGGCTGGGCACAGCGAAGGCTCTGGGCGCTACATGTGTGTGGAGTGAGCCTGGAGGGTGCTGGAAGCTCTGGGGGACCAACGAAACCTATAACGCCTCTCTGTGACCAGACGTCCTATGCTCTGGAGGTCATGTGGTTGGTTCTTGTGACAGGAGCCTAAGCTGCCCTCAAAGGCTTGGCAGGCAGCCCTGCAGACCTTGCCCTTCTCTGGAAAGGCTGCCGTTGCTCATGACATTGAGCAGGCAACATCGACCGGAGCCTCCTGCCTCTGTAGGTGCTGTAGTGGCTGGGGCACAGCGGGGCCGTGCAGGACGTAGTTGTGGTGCCTGCGGCAGCAGGAGCCTCCTGGTGCCTGACACCCATGAGCACACCATCAGACCTGGGTCTGCCAGAGGAGCCGGGGTGCTGGTAGGACCTTCCACGGGCTGATATGTGGCTCCTGAATTGGCTCCCGCAGAGATCCGCGTCTCGCTGACATGCAGGCCAGGCAGGGTGCTGGGAGTGAGGATGTCCTTCGGCAGGATGGGCAGAGGGCTGCCTTACCTCCAGGCAGATGAAGAAGGGGCCAGTTTTGGGTGAGTCATTTGGTTGAGGGCTGCGGTGCTTATGCCTGGCATGCTGGCTTAGGTGCTGAGCACCCCGGCATCCTGTGGGGTGCCCCTGTGTACTTGTACCTGCTGTAACTGTGATGGCGTGGGAGATGGTGTGCACTGCTGGCTCCTGGTTCCTGAAGGTCCAGTGGGGTAGGATTGGTCACCCAGGCTGCCTTTCTCCTGGGAGGAAGAGATGACCTCCTCCTGTTCCTCCTCATTCTCGGTGCTCTCCTGACCTCAGGGAAGCACCCTCTAGCAGAGGCTGGTCTGCCCGAAGTTGGCCGCCCACCGCGGATGCTGACTTGTCACCAAAAATAGACCTTTTGTCATCAGGCAGCAGAAAGTGCTTGCTGCCTGCTGCGCCCCGTGGCGTCCCTGGCTGAGTGCCGGCGGGCTCTGGCTAGACAGCCTCCTTGAGCCTGGCTTTTGGCCGCCCAGCTCCTGGGGGTTTGGTGGCCCCGGCACTGTGGCAGGAAGGGGCTGATGACCAGCGGGTGCCAGTGTGGCATTTGCTGTGCTGGTAGACTCGTGGCCAAAGGATGCTCTTGCTAGGAGAGAGGACGGGGATGGCAGAACTGGAGAGCAGTGG